TAATTCACTGAACTATTAAACTGATTTGAATGATTTGAGAATGTAATTGTTATTAAGTTGAAGTAATTATTTATATTTAATGAAGAATTGAAGTATCTGAATAAATGTGAGATGCAAGTAAGAAATATTAGAATCGATTGACACAGAGTAGTCGTACTAGTACAAGAGTCCAAGCACAACTGTTGCAGCAGACCACGCGAGCCGGCTTCTTTACCGCTAACCAAGGCGCGCATGAGCGACGGCCATAGAGTGATACGATTATTCCCGAGTTTTAATATAACGATTAAGCCTGAAGGCGTAATTCTTCTTATAAGTATTTGACTAGATCTTTTTTCTAGCGGTTAAACAAAAATGTAGTGTCTAAATAAAACAAGTCATTACCGCGGGCCTACGCACAGGTGACTACAAACATCTCTGTAGGGACATGCATTTTATGTTTTTACGATATAATATGCATGTATATATGTTTTGTATCCTGGTATAGATAAATTAATAAATATTCGAAAAACAATAAATATTTACTGTTCAAAATTCTATTACTTAATAATTAATATCTAGTAACGAACGATTATTATTTAATATTGAGACAATACAAATTGTCTCGCGCTTTCCAGCCTAAAACTATAATTACCCGAAAAATTTTTTGGTATTTAAAGAAAAATTTGTCTCAATATATATTAAGGTGTGCCAAAATTCAATTTCCGTGAAGAACCTTTTGAAATTGGAATTTTGAGTTCCGCTTTTAACAAGAGCTGTGTTTAGGCATTTCCTGAGATATTTTGGGTTGAAACGTTCGTATTTGATTTTCATAGAATTTTTATAATTTTTTCTGGCCGCTGTGGAGATATCTCTTGGCCGGAAGTGCCCACACTGAAAAAAATAATCGGTAAAGGCAACCGATTAAAATTGGTAGAGGTTACTGATTTTTTTTTCGGTAGCCTTTATCGATTTTAATCGGTAGCCTTTACAGATTTTAATCGGTTGCCTCTACCGACAAATCGGTAACCTCTGCCGACAAATCGGTAGCCTCTATCGATTTACATTTACTGAAAAAAATAGTTTTTGGGGCTTATTATTGATATTTTTTAAGATATAAACTCATCCTGATGTTACGCTCATCGAGACCTTTTATTTGAGATCGCTTCCGTCAAAATGTTTATCATCGAGAATTTAATTAATCAATATTTTTACAAATTTTATTTATTAATATCTAACCGTTTCCATGATGGTAATCGTTGCCAAAGTGGTTGCAATAGCAATAAAAAGCGACAACAATGAAAACGTTACATCAACTTTTCAATAAACGATTGCCTGTTACATGAACATCATGTTGATATGTCATTTATACTTTAGTTATAGGCCCCAAAAACTATTTTTTCGGTAAATGTAAATTGGTAGAGTCTAACGATTTGTCGGCAGAGGCAACCGATTAAAATCGGTAGAGGCTACCGAAAAAAAATCGGTAACCTTTACCAATTACCAATCGGTAGCCTCTACCGATTATTTTTTTCAGTTTATGTGATTTTTGAGCTGGAAGAGCTACATCAAAAAGACCATTATTTAAACATTTTTTAATGGCTATAAGTTTTGAACGCCTTGTTCGATTTTGATTTACTTGGCGTCATTCGAAGTAGTTTTTATTTTTGGCTTTTTTTTTTAATAATTTTGAAACAGCTTGACCGATTGACTTCAAAATTTAATCAGTTCGCAGTCTTAATGAACACTTTCGAACGCTGTTATTCCTCATGTTGATCGATTAATTCGTTCTAAAGTTATCATACCACAAAATATTACTTACATACATACACACACACACACACACACACACACACACACACACACACACACACACACACACACACACGCGGCTGAACGTTCAACCGAAAATAGTTGGAATGGCCTTCCTAGGACCTCAAAACGTGATAATCTGATGAAATTTGCATTCTCAAATCAGACCAAAATCTATACTAACTTCCTAATTTTGAAAAGTATCAATTTTTTATTTTCAAAACGAGAAGTTAAAAATTTTTTTTAATAATTAATTTTTAAATTTCAATATCCAAAAACAGGTGGAGCTGTATATGAATTATGAAAAGGAAATGATTTAGTGGCAATGGCTAATTCTCAAAACTACATGTAGATGTAATCTTATTATTGTATTTGAATGATATGCATTTTTGTCTAATAATCAGGTATCTTTCATTTATAAATTATATTCATTATGACTTAGTATAGGAATGGAGAGAGGGAAACTGCAAAAATATACTACCTGGAGTGACTATAATTTTCTATACTCGATGTCAAAACGTGTTCTCTTACTAGAATGGCAGAAAGGCTGCTGACATAATTATACTTCACACGTGTTACTCTATTACTATAGAGTTTCCAAATTGTTGTGAACTTAAAATTTGTTTTATAAAAATAAAAATTACTTGGCATATCAAGATGCCAATATTTAACGAAACAGTTATTCGTCAAAAATTCGACAAACATCTGCAAAATAGTGAGTTTAAAATTCTCAAGTGGTTTTTTATTCATCATAAGCGTCACTTCAAATTGATCGCACGTGTTTGGTACCAAGAAATAAGTGTCGCAGATACAAAACGAAAAATATTATTTATGCAATTCGCTCATGACTTGATCCAAGCTGGACACAAAATGGGTTTATATCAATTGGAAGAAGAATTTACTATGTATTTATTCAGGGCATTTGAATTAGTCAAGCAGAATATTAAAATCAGAAATGATCTAATAAAAATGTTACAACATTGGGAAGATAGAGGACTGTACAAATCTGAGATCATA